GGCCCACACATGGCCATAAGAAACATTGGACTATTCATTTAATCGTTAAAGGTATATAGTAAGATTTCCCCAAATTTTAAGAAAGAACTAGCCTGGTCGTACCACACCATAGTACATATTACATTTCTACGGTCTGGAGGTGCTCCATTGGGCTCCGTTTACAGGTGGGAGGGGTTAACTCCTTTTGCAGATTGAAATGATTAGATCTGAGCATTTAGCATTTAGCATTTAGCCTAGCCATCTCCTTTGCCACTAAGGGGGGGAGTAGCATCACAATTTTTGCCAGCGGTTACATTTTCTAAACATTCCTCTTGCTCCGTCTTCAATTTCTTGATAGAACCAGACCGGAATACTTTACTATCACATTTTTCACCATTGCCAAACTACAACCTGCCCCTTTGACGCAAACTCTTGACGTCACCTACAACTAACTACAAACCCGCCTCCCGCGCTCGCTGATTCGTCGGATGGAATTTGGCCGATGTAATCGCAAACACAGGGACCAGTCCCAGACGTTACATGCAGGAAATGATGATAAGGCCAGGCTAGGAAAGAACCGCCCTCTCCACTTTTTGAACAAAACTCTTTGGTCTTATTTGACGAGCAGTAGTCTTGTTGATCCACCCGGAAGTAGAAAATCCTCCTTTATACCTTTAAACAAACTATGACGCACTGGGTTAGGTCCTGGTTCAGTAGGTTTCATGCAATCATTTTAATATGTTTTAATAAGAATGGAACCAGTCCAGCCCTCAGCTTGCAGAAAATGTGTTTGACTTTGACATCCCTGTTCTACATAGTAATTCAAAACTAAAACTAAACTGTTGAAGTCGACACTCTTTCTCTGTTCAATCTGATCACATTCTGTCTGTCTTTATCTTGCAGAAACAGCTTTTGATTTCTTTCCCTGGCTGTTTGCAGTTGCACCGCAGGCTTCTGAGTCGCCCTATCTAGGACCCCAAGCTCTGCCGGAGCCCACCCAAATCCTGACTCAGCCCGCAACAGTCCAGACCATCGGGCAGAGACTAAAAATGTTTCTTTTAAAGCGAGGAATGCAAAAAGCTCTAAGACATACTTCACGGGCCGCCATCAAAAGAAAGTTTTTGTACTTCAATGCTTAAGCCTCCGTTTCCACTTGTGCGAGAGCTGAGGATGACTGACGGGAACACTTTGTGCGGGGCAAAAGTCAGGGCACTCTGCAGTTTTGATGAGTGCAGGTAAAAAATTGTGTGTCACGTTTAAAGTCTCCCCCGGTAGTGGTATTAACAGCTGTCAAAGTTACACACAGTTCCCCCCCAGGACTGTCTTGGGACACTAGATAAAGCACAGGGATGTAAAGTGATCCGACTCTGGGCCTCTCACGCCTCCACTCAATTACTCATGTCTGCTGCTGTGTGAGAATCCTGAAGTCTGGGTCCCATGGCGTGGAGAATCATTGTAAATATGCCCTCAAAGAAACTCATCATAAACCGTTAGATTCTTCATAGTTAAAGGGGCAGTAGATAAACGTTTTTTACTTTCTCTATCATTAATGACATTCTCACATTCTTGACCCAACCTTCGCTCTAGTGCAGGCATGTCAAAGTCAAATACATCAGAGGGCCAAAAAAAAATGTTTGCTACGCGCCGCGGGACGGACTGGTTCAATGTTTCTCAACATCCAGAGGCAGTGCCGGTGACACCTGTTGGCTCGATAAAATATGCTCCAAAGCCAATCCTCATACTGTACATATTAGATGTAATAGACATCTGAGAACATGAAAATAGTACAAAAAGAAAAAGCTCAAACTTGGTGAAATGTAAAAGAGCAGTCTGGACCTCTTTTCGGGGCGTTTTTAGATTAAATCTGAAGAATGGATTATACTTTGGGAAATACAAGTGGATTTTCTTCTTCAATGAACAGTTACGGAGAGAAAGCGACTAAGCAAGGATGGGGAAAGTCTAATTTGTTGGAGCAGCAGAAGACGAAAGGTAAAAAACAAATACAGACTGATTTATTTTGTGCCCATATTATGCGTTATATCTTTTTAATGTAAAGTCTGATATTGTTAACACTTACATATAAATATAGCTGAGAAAATAAGCTTTAAAATGATATATAGCTTGTGGCTTATGAAGTTCAAAATACATCTGCTATTGCTAGCCCGCCGGCGGGGGCTAGCGAGCTTAAGGGGTCAATACATTGCCTCAATGGCAGGCAATGTCCCGCGGGCCTTGACTTTGACACATGTGCTCTATAGCATCGAGGTTCATGAGGCTCCTGATTTATTTGAACTTGTTTTTACACTGTCCCATTGGCAAATCTTGTTTTGAGGAGGTCCGAAAATGTGCTCAAATGAAGACAAAGATTTTTCTGTGTATATAATGTTTTATTTTTTCCTATTTCTATATATACATAAAGCTGGCAGGCCTTGTATGTTTAAATGTGCACACTTGTTTTATTGTGTTATATAAATAAAGTGGATTGAAGGTTTTGTATACCTTTTGATGAACACTTTGGTCTTTACATGTTTTAAATTAGTTGTGACAAGGAGAGACCTACCTTCTCTCAGCCAATCAGCTCTCAGCCCAAAGTGTCCGATAGTGACTCACAGGGCTCTCTCCTACAAGTATACAAAAGAGCAGGTTTTGACCTAACCAGTGACCGTCTGTCTTCTCCGTCCAGGGGGCAAAGCTCTGGAACTCTCTCATAACCACTATACACACAACACGAAAATAGACAAAAAGACCAAAACCGATACAGATCCTTTTAAAATGAATTTTCAAATATATTCTAAGCACATTTTTGTTGTTTGAGCTGGAAACAATTTACCACACCTACCCACACAATAACTCAATAGAAAAAGGCCAGGGCCCACACCTCGTAATCCCTCCAGAGTCCCACTCAGCTGAAGTCGAATGCCATCCGCGCCCTTTGGGGTCCTCTCTGTCGAAGCTCTCGCCATCAAAATAATCCTTCCTCATCTTCTCTCAAATCCCTCCCCCTCCTCTCTCCCTCTCTCCTCCTCCTCGCATCTCCTCAAACTTACTTCGCCGCTCTCAATCACTCGAATAACTCTCGTCCGTCGTCTCTCCTCCATTCAGCGATATCCAGGCCCCCTCCAAGCCCTCCGCCCCTCATCATAAAGAAACCACCCCCAACAGGCGTCGACGCAGTTCCACGCAACACATCTACTCCGCCGTCCAGCCACAAAAGGAAAGACAATTCCCCCTCGTCTCTCAATCTCGCTCTCAGCCAGTCTCTCATCTCACATCTCTCCTCACGCCTCAAGCTCTCCACCCAGAAGTCTCTCTCTCGTCTCTCTATTCCACTCAATCTCTTCTCTCTCTCCCCTCTCCTCCTCCCCCTCTCATCCTCTCTCTGTCTTCTTCTCCACTCCTCCCTTTCTCCCTCTTAATATCATCCCTCTGTTTATCTGCTACTCATGTCGCCTAATTTCCCTCTCTATCGTCCTCTCCATCCATATCTTCTAAGGCTTAACCCGTTTAGGCTTCTTCTTCGTCTATATGTTTCCCATTCTCTTTCTCTTTCGAATTTTTCTATCATCTTCTCTCTCTCGCCGGTTCCGTCTTGACTCTCTTCTCCTTGCTTCTTCTGGTCTAGTCACTGTCTTTTCTCTGTTGTATCTCATTCTCTAGCCTTCCATCCGCCCGACCCTCTTCCATCCGCTGCTCTCTCCTAGATTTTGTCTGTCCCCTCTCGCCTTCTCCTTTACATTCTTCCTCGGTTAACTCTCTCTGTTGGTTCGTTGGGGTCACGTTCATTTACATGTCTCCGCCTCCTTATTCCTTCTCATCGCTTTCGCCTTCTCCTATGTCGACATTCTAATTCTCGGACGCTCTCAAAAGCTCTCTTACGTCTCGCCCTTTTTTTCATTTTTCAACTCTCCTATTTCTGGCGTAAGCTAGCCCCGAATCTATTGCTCAACTTCATTCTTCTCCACTCACTCTCCCTCCGCCCGCACTTCCGAGTTCCCAGGTCGTATGCGTCTTCTCCTCCGACACTAGCGGTCCGGCTCAAGACCGGTACACAACGAGCGCAGTGAAAACCAACAGATCGGGCGACCGCGGAGCCCACGCTCTCTCGGGCACAAAGCCGCGGAGGGCCACCCGGCCTCCCTACTGAAATATTTTGCTTTCTCAACTCATCGGTCGTCCTCGCGTTCCAGGCCCACCCCCTCCCCACCCCCCCCCCCCCCCCACCCACCCCCCCCACCACAACACACCACAAAAGGTGTGGGGGGGGGGGGGGGGGGAAAAAAAAAAAAAAAAACAACACAAACAACACACACACAAAAAAAACACAAAAAAAAAAAAAAAAAAAAAAAATAATTTTTTATATTATAATAAAAAAAATTTTTTTGGGGGGGTTTTATTTTTTTTTATAAAGGTGGAGATAGATAGTTAAATGAAGAAAAGATATGAAGTAAGATAAGCCCCGCGCCGATTGCGCATTCTGTTCAACGCACGCATACCGTCGTGCAACGGCGGCGCACGAGCTGTATGTACTTTTCCAGTCATCGTCTATTGCTACACAGCGTCGTATCACACTAAATACTGATCGTTCTTCAGTTGCTTTTGTTCCCTCATAGTCAGCCCGGTCAAAGGGGAGTCCACCATAGCTCTTTCTTCTGCATCCGGCATGGAATCGTTCCCCATACATTCACTCTCACGTCAGTCTCATATCTCTCATCGCTCATTTCTCTCTCTACCGTCATCTGTGGCAGAAGAGAGCATCTTCCAAACACCCGGAAGACACAAGCGTGGCCGAGGCCATCGCAGCCCATAAAGAACGTGGTTGTCCGGTTTGAGTGGCAGTGAAGGGCCCTGGATGAGAGCTGTCAGACGGTGAGCAGGGAGCAGCCTAAAGGGAGCCTTAAGTGCCACATTTCCATTTTTAACGACGCGGCAATAATAAAAGATGTGACCAGGACGAGACAAGTCCCGCACCGACTGCCGGGCCTTTTCCTGAAGGCCACTGTAGACATTACTCTTCTCCTTTCTCAAAAAGGACTTATGTATGGTCGTTGAATTATGGCGTCTTTCTCTTTCATTTTTTCTTTGTGCTCTGACGTCAGTGTCGCGATATAGAAATGGGCTCTGTACTTGTCCTCATACTCCATTCGGGCTCGCAGTTTTAGCAGGTCTCTTTCTTTCAATAAATCCTCTCGGGAAAGGTTAGCTGGATCCTGCTCTGTTGACTCTTCCTGGACTTCAGGTTGGTCTTGCTGTGACTCCGTGTTTGGAGTGGACGGACCCGCCTCCGCCTGAACCTCCACACCAGCGTCCTCCATGTTTGAAGTGGACGGACCCGCCTCCGCCTGAACCTCCACACCAGTGTCCTCCATGTTTGAAGTGGATGGACCCGCCTCCGCCTGGACCTCCTCTCCAGCGTCCTCCATGTTTGTCAGGGACCGCTCCTGCTCTCGTTCCACGGCCCGGCGGAGTTGACGGCGTTCTTTTTGATTCATCCCGTCGGTCGACCGTGCAGCGTTTGTTTCTGTCGACATGATTGTTCTGTTGTGTAGATCTTTCTGTGCTTGAATAATATTGTTTATGTCAAGTTACTCCAAATGAAGTCAGTCAAGTTTGCCCCAGATTGACCTTGCTTCCTGAACTTTTCTGAATGCCAGATAAGGGATTCTTTATGATGTCATCGCTTCCGGAACCATGCCAACACTAGTCACCATGGTTACCTGATCATGGTAACCAGTCATTCATTCATTTGAATAGGAACAGTGCCCATCAATCATCATTACTGTAATTGTTCAGCATTAGATTCAAGATATAAGTTTATTTATAGCACATAAGCAGAATACATGTGCAAAAATACCAGTGTGCACGAGACAAATACATAATAAAGATAAAAAACAAGCAATAAAAAGAGATTCAATCGATACAGCAAGTTTACAACTGCAGTCGCTCAGAAAGGTGTGAAATGTCTGTATAAAACCACCCAAATATAACCTTGTAGAATATAAATACTAAGTTTCAGAGTTAGTCAAAGTAATACAATTGAAAAACAAAACATAAACACAAAGGCCACACATTTAGAGATGGTTATTGGCTTTTAACCCTGGTTTTTATATATTTTTTGGCATTATCTGTTACGTTATGTTATGAAAAAAACGAGTTATTGAAATAGCAGTGAAGGAGCAGTCTTTAACCTTCGCTCACACAAATAGTGAACATGTCTCTCTCATCTGGAACATTTCCAATGGCCCTGAAAACGGCAGTCATCAGACCCCTCCTAAAAAAGAGGAGTCTAGATGCCACAGCTCTTAAGGATTACCGGCCCATTTCAAATCTGCCGTTTATGGGAAAAATTCTGGAAAAAGTTGCTTACCAACAACTTACAGAATTCTTAGTAACTAATAGTTCCTTTGATGCGCTCCAGTCCGGCTTTAGAGCCAATAACAGCACTGAGACTGCACTAGTGAAGGTTACAAATGACATCCGACTTAACACCGACACAGGAAAAGTCACAGTTTTAGTAATGCTGGATCTGAGTGCTGCGTTCGACACAGTCGAGCATGAGATCCTCATGCAGAGACTAGAGCACTGGGTGGGTGTCACTGGGACTGCCCTAAGTTGGTTTAGGTCTTACCTAGAAGACAGGAAATACTTGGTTCAGATAGGAAACTGTGTCTCAGATCATATGGCTCTGACCTGCGGAGTGCCACAGGGGTCAATTCTGGGGCCTCTTCTGTTCAATATTTACATGCTGCCATTAGGTCAAGTAATACGCTCAAACAATGTATCCTACCACAATTACGCTGATGACACTCAAATGTATGTCTCACTTACTGCAGGAGAACATGGACCAGTGGACTCACTCATACACTGTATTCAACAGATTAGTGATTGGATGCAAAATAACTTCCTTCAGCTAAACGCAGACAAAACAGAATTGATTGTCTTTGGTCCTCAGAAACAAAGAGAGAGTGTTATTCGTCACCTCCAGTCTCTCTCCCTGGAACCTGTAGGCAAGGTCAGAAACCTAGGAGTTATAATGGACTCAGACTTAAATTTTAACAGTCATATCAAATCAGTAACATCAGCAGCATTTTACCATCTGAAAAACATTGCCAAAATTAGAAACATAGTGTCTAAATAAGATCTGGAGATTCTCATCCATGCATTTGTCTCCAGTAGGTTAGACTACTGCAATGGCCTGCTCACAGGTCTGTCCAAACAGGCTGTAAAACAACTGCAGTATGTCCAAAATGCTGCAGCTCGAGTCCTGACCAGGACCAGGAAATATGACCACATTAGTCCAGTTCTCAGGTCTCTGCACTGGCTTCCTGTGGCTCAGAGAATAGACTTTAATAGGCCAAGTCTCTCCATGGCCTCGCACCAAAGTATAGATAGAATAGTATAGAGTATAGAATAGATTTAAAAGTATGAAAGCAGGTTCATTTGATGTAGAGTGAGTGAACATATACAGGGTTTATGTTTAATTAGGTTTTAATTAACTTCAGTGGAGAAAAAAGTTAACATGCAGTGCAAAAAGAGACATAAAGTGTGTGTATTTTATAAAAACTGAAATGTAATCAATCTCAATGTGACAATACTAGTGAATTCTATTATTTATTATAACTTCTTATTTTGCAAAGCACAAGGTTTTTACAAACACAAAACAAAATGGTGAATGCCCAAAAATGACTCCATGGCTTTGGAAGGTTTAGATGCACTTGACACATTCTATTTTAAATGTGTCCTGTGCATTTGACCCAACCTGAGGAGTGAGGCAGCGATGGGAGTATGTTGTGTTTGATGCCTCCTGCTGCTTCAATTTTCATAATGTTGAAGCAGCGGTTAGACAAGTCAAGAGAGACTATTTTTTTCCTCAAAATGTGTTTCGCCGGTCTCTTTCTCGGTCGCGGTCTCTTTCTCGGTCGCGGTCTCTGTCTTGCAGACTTTGTGATCATCTCATCATGTTGTAGTATCTTTAAGTTCTTCCTCCTCTGGAAGGTGTTTTTGGACTCTGGATAAAACAAATCATTTGTCCCTAGTCCTATTTCACCCGATTGTTGTGAGGAGCATGAAGAGAACATGCATACATTAGCTCCAAAACCGATTTAAGGAATCAATTCCTGAACTACTGTGCATGTTTCTCTAACTCATCTGCTAAAATGTGTCTAGATTTGTTCAGGTTGTAACTTTTCAACCACATATCTATGATTGAACATTTACAAACCCATTTTCTGACAAACTAAACCAGATCTCTTCTCTCCAGAGGATGGGCCTGTTTTGGATTCTTTGCAGCCGCTGGAGCTCCATGCAGCTCTGTTCTGAGTACTGTCCCCTCACAGCGGGGCCCGTGGGCCTGTGAGAAACAGGATCGGCCCGAACCCAGTCCCCAGTCCCCAGTCCCCCCACTGTGTCCTGGTCCATGTTAGAGCCTGGACCTCTAACACCTCGACTTTTGCTTAAAAGCCACAGCAGAACCACCTCCTTCTCCCTCCTCTTCAGACTCTGCAGCTCCTCCTCCTTTTCTCTGAGAGCATCCTGCTTCTCTTTCTCCTTTTCGCTGAGAGCCTCCTTCAGGTCCTGCTCCTTTTCTCTGAGAGCCTCCTGCTTCTCCTCCTCCTTTTCTCTGAGAGCCTCCTGCTTCTCTTTCTCCTTTTCGCTGAGAGCCTCCTTCAGGTCCTGCTCCTTTTCTCTGAGAGCCTCCTTCAGGTCCTGCTCCTTTTCTCTGAGAGCCTCCTTCAGGTCCTGCTCCTTTTCTCTGAGAGCCTCCTGCAGCTCCAGTCTCTGCTTCTCCAGGTCTGTGTTGTTCTGGTCTGAGGCGCTCAGAGCCTCCGACAGCTCCTGGATCTTCTCCTGCAGGAGTCTCCTCTGCTCCTGCTCTGAACTCACCTCCTCTGAGTGCTTGAGTTTCAGGGCCTCCATTTCCTTGTTTGTATTGTCCACTATTGTTGCAAGGTGGTCTTTCTGAGCCACCGCAGAATTCATGGCAGTTTGGCATCTCTGGATTGCAGCCCTGAAAACGTTTGTCACTGTTTCGAGTTTCTGGTTCAATGCCCGACTTGTCTCCTCCTGCTCCTGTGTTTTGTGGCTCAGCTCATTCACTTTTGAGCGGAGGGTCTCAGTGACTCTCTTCTCTTGGCTCAGGTTTGACCTCAGGTCTTTGACAGTAGACTGTAGGCCGACCTTCTCCTGCTCCACGTTTTGATAATCCCTAAGAGCTCGCTTCAGGCCTGACACCTCTGTTGTCAGCTGCTGTCTCTCTCTCTCCAGTGCTTCCACCTTTTTCTTCTCATTGTCCAAAGCCTTTTTCAGAGACGAGACTTCACTATCCAGCTCATTCTTCTGTTTGTCCAGCTGTTCGGCTGATATCTCCAGAACTGCTGCAGTGGCCGCCTCACTGGTCTCTAAGGAGGACTTCAGGCTTTCTTTCTCCTCCTGCTCCTTTTTCAGATCCTGTTTCAAAATAGCGATCTGCTCCAGGAGAGGCTGGACATTTACCTGGTTCTGCGTCTTTATATTTTCCACTTGTCCGCGGAGGAAAGAGTTGGCAGTAGTTTGGTGTTCAATCTCGTCCCGCACCGACTGCCGGGCCTTTTCCTGAAGGCCACTGTACACATTACTCTTCTCCTTTCTCAAACGTTGGATTATGGCGTCTTTCTCTTTCATTTTTTCTTCGTGCTCTGACGTCAGTGTCGCGATATAGAAATGGGCTCTGTACTTGTCCTCATACTCCATTCGGGCTCGCAGTTTTAGCAGGTCTCTTTCTTTCAATAAATCCTCTTGGGAAAGGTTAGCTGGATCCTGCTCTGTTGACTCTTCCTGGACTTCAGGTTGGTCTTACTGTGACTCCATGTTTGAAGTGGACGGACCCGCCTCCGCCTGAACCTCCTCTCCAGCGTCCTCCATGTTTGTCAGGGACCGCTCCTGCTCTCGTTCCACGGCCCGGCGGAGTTGACGGCGTTCTTTTCGATTCATCCCGTCGGTCGACCGTGCAGCGTTTGTTTCTGTCGACATGATTGTTCTGTTGTGTAGATCTTTCTGTGCTTGAATAATATTGTTTGGGTCAAGTTACTCCAAATGAAGTCAGTCAAGTTTCCTCCAGATTGACCTTACTGCCTGAACTTTTCTGAATGCCAGATAAGGGATTCTTTATGATGTCATCGCTTCCGGAACCATGCCAACACTAGTCGCCATGGTTACCTGATCATGGTAACCAGTCATTCATTCATTTGAATAGGAACAGTGCCCATCAATCATCATTACTGTAATTGTTCAGCATTAGATTCAAGATATAAGTTTATTTATAGCACATAAGCAGAATACATGTGCAAAAATACCAGTGTGCACGAGACAAATACATAATAAAGATAAAAAACAAGCAATAAAAAGAGATTCAATCGATACAGCAAGTTTACAACTGCAGTCGCTCAGAAAGGTGTGAAATGTCTGTATAAAACCACCCAAATATAACCTTGTAGAATATAAATACTAAGTTTCAGAGTTAGTCAAAGTAATACAATTGAAAAACAAAACATAAACACAAAGGCCACACATTTAGAGATGGTTATTGGCTTTTAACCCTGGTTTTTACATATTTTTTGGCATTATCTGTTATGTTATGTTATGAAAAAAACGAGTTATTGAAATAGCAGTGAAGGAGCAGTCTTTTACCTTCGCTCACACAAATAGTGAACATGTCTCTCTCATCTGGAACATTTCCAATGGCCCTGAAAACGGCAGTCATCAGACCCCTCCTAAAAAAGAGGAGTCTAGATGCCACAGCTCTTAAGAATTACCGGCCCATTTCAAATCTGCCGTTTATGGGAAAAATTCTGGAAAAAGTTGCTTACCAACAACTTACAGAATTCTTAGTAACTAATAGTTCCTTTGATGCGCTCCAGTCCGGCTTTAGAGCCAATAACAGCACTGAGACTGCACTAGTGAAGGTTACAAATGACATCCGACTTAACACCGACACAGGAAAAGTCACAGTTTTAGTAATGCTGGATCTGAGTGCTGCGTTCGACACAGTCGAGCATGAGATCCTCATGCAGAGACTAGAGCACTGGGTGGGTGTCACTGGGACTGCCCTAGGTTGGTTTAGGTCTTACCTAGAAGACAGGAAATACTTGGTTCAGATAGGAAACTGTGTCTCAGATCATATGGCTCTGACCTGCGGAGTGCCACAGGGGTCAATTCTGGGGCCTCTTCTGTTCAATATTTACATGCTGCCATTAGGTCAAGTAATACGCTCAAACAATGTATCCTACCACAATTACGCTGATGACACTCAAATGTATGTCTCACTTACTGCAGGAGAACATGGACCAGTGGACTCACTCATACACTGTATTCAACAGATTAGTGATTGGATGCAAAATAACTTCCTTCAGCTAAACGCAGACAAAACAGAATTGATTGTCTTTGGTCCTCAGAAACAAAGAGAGAGTGTTATTCGTCACCTCCAGTCTCTCTCCCTGGAACCTGTAGGCAAGGTCAGAAACCTAGGAGTTATAATGGACTCAGACTTAAATTTTAACAGTCATATCAAATCAGTAAACATCAGCAGCATTTTACCATCTGAAAAACATTGCCAAAATTAGAAACATAGTGTCTAAATAAGATCTGGAGATTCTCATCCATGCATTTGTCTCCAGTAGGTTAGACTACTGCAATGGCCTGCTCACAGGTCTGTCCAAACAGGCTGTAAAACAACTGCAGTATGTCCAAAATGCTGCAGCTCGAGTCCTGACCAGGACCAGGAAATATGACCACATTAGTCCAGTTCTCAGGTCTCTGCACTGGCTTCCTGTGGCTCAGAGAATAGACTTTAATAGGCCAAGTCTCTCCATGGCCTCGCACCAAAGTATAGATAGAATATTATAGAGTATAGAATAGATTTAAAAGTATGAAAGCAGGTTCATTTGATGTAGAGTGAGTGAACATATACAGGGTTTATGTTTAATTAGGTTTTAATTAACTTCAGTGGAGAAAAAAGTTAACATACAGTGCAAAAAGAGACATAAAGTGTGTGTATTTTATAAAAACTGAAATGTAATCAATCTCAATGTGACAATACTGGTGAATTCTATGATTTATTAGAACTTCTTATTTTGCAAAGCACAAGGTTTTTACAAACACAAAACAAAATGGTGAATGCCCAAAAATGACTCCATGGCTTTGGAAGGATTAGATGCACTTGACACATTCTATTTTAAATGTGTCCTGTGCATTTGACCCAACCTGAGGAGTGAGGCAGCGATGGGAGTATGTTGTGTTTGATGCCTCCTGCTGCTTCAATTTTCATCATGTTGAAGCAGCGGTTAGACAAGTCAAGAGAGACTATTTTTTTCCTCAAAATGTGTCTCGCCGGTCTGTTTCTCGGTTGCGGTCTCTTTCTCGGACGCGCTTTCTCGGTCGTGGTCTCTTTCTCGGACGCGCTTTCTCGGTCGTGGTCTCTTTCTCGGTCGCGGTCTCTTCCTCTTTCTCGGTCGTGGTCTCTTTCTCGGTCGTGGTCTCTTTCTCGGTCGCGGTCTCTGTCTTGCAGACTTTGTGATCATCTCATCATGTTGTAGTATCTTTAAGTTCTTCCTCCTCTGGAAGGTGTTTTTGGACTCTGGATAAAACAAATCATTTGTCCCTAGTCCTATTTTACCCGATTGTTGTGAGGAGCATGAAGAGAACATGCATACATTAGCTCCAAAACCGATTTAAGGAATCAATTCCTGAACTACTGTGCATGTTTCTCTAACTCATCTGCTAAAATGTGTCTAGATTTGTTCAGGTTGTAACTTTTCAACCACATATCTATGATTGAACATTTACAAACCCATTTTCTGACAAACTAAACCAGATCTCTTCTCTCCAGAGGATGGGCCTGTTTTGGATTCTTTGCAGCTGCTGGAGCTCCATGCAGCTCTGTTCTGAGTACTGTCCCCTCACAGCGGGGCCCGTGGGCCTGTGAGAAACAGTATCGGCCCGAACCCAGTCCCCAGTCCCCAGTCCCCAGTCCCCAGTCCCCCCACTGTGTCCTGGTCCATGTTAGAGCCTGGACCTCTAAGACCTCGACTTTTGCTTAAAAGCCACAGCAGAACCACCTCCTTCTCCTCCTCTTCAGATTCGTGCTGGTCTCCTGCTGCTCCTTTTCTCTTAGGACATTTTGCAGTTCCTCCTTTTCTCTGAGAGCCTCCTGCTTCTCCTCCTCCTTTTCTCTGAGAGCCTCCTTCAGGTCCTGCTCCTTTTCTCTGAGAGCCTCCTTCAGGTCCTGCTCCTTTTCTCTGAGAGCCTCCTTCAGGTCCTGCTCCTTTTCTCTGAGAGCCTCCTGCAGCTCCAGTCTCTGCTTCTCCAGGTCTGTGTTGTTCTGGTCTGAGGCGCTCAGAGCCTCCGACAGCTCCTGGATCTTCTCCTGCAGGAGTCTCCTCTGCTCCTGCTCTGAACTCACCTCCTCTGAGTGCTTGAGTTTCAGCGCCTCCATTTCCTTGTTTGTATTGTCCACTATTGTTGCAAGGTTGTCTTTCTGAGCCACCGCAGAATTCATGGCAGTTTGGCATCTCTGGATTGCAGCCCTGAAAACGTTTGTCACTGTTTCGAGTTTCTGGTTCAATGCCCGACTTGTCTCCTCCTGCTCCTGTGTTTTGTGGCTCAGCTCATTCACTTTTGAGCGGAGGGTCTCAGTGACTCTCTTCTCTTGGCTCAAGTTTGACCTCAGGTCTTTGACAGTAGACTGTAGGCCGACCTTCTCCTGCTCCACGTTTTGATAATCCCTCAGAGCTCGCTTCAGGCCTGACACCTCTGTTGTCAGCTGCTGTCTCTCTCTCTCCAGTGCTTCCACCTTTTTCTTCTCATTGTCCAAAGCCTTTTTCAGAGACGAGACTTCACTATCCAGCTCATTCTTCTGTTTGTCCAGCTGTTCGGCTGATATCTCCAGAACTGCTGCAGTGGCCGCCTCACTGGTCTCTAAGGAGGACTTCAGGCTTTCTTTCTCCTCCTGCTCCTTTTTCAGATCCTGTTTCAAAATAGCGATCTGCTCCAGGAGAGGCTGGACATTTACCTGGTTCTGCGTCTTTATATTTTCCACTTGTCCGCGGAGGAAAGAGTTGGCAGTAGTTTGGTGTTCAATCTCGTCCCGCACCGACTGCCGGGCCTTTTCCTGAAGGCCACTGTAGACATTACTCTTCTCCTTTCTCAAACGTTGAATTATGGCGTCTTTCTCTTTCATTTTTTCTTCGTGCTCTGACGTCAGTGTCGCGATATAGAAATGGGCTCTGTACTTGTCCTCATACTCCATTCGGGCTCGCAGTTTTAGCAGGTCTCTTTCTTTCAATAAATCCTCTCGGGAAAGGTTAGCTGGATCCTGCTCTGTTGACTCTTCCTGGACTTCAGGTTGGTCTTGCTGTGACTCCGTGTTTGGAGTGGACGGACCCGCCTCCGCCTGAACCTCCACACCAGCGTCCTCCATGTTTGAAGTGGACGGACCCGCCTCCGCCTGAACCTCCACACCAGTGTCCTCCATGTTTGAAGTGGACGGACCCGCCTCCGCCTGGACCTCCTCACCAGCGTCCTCCATGTTTGTCAGGGACCGCTCCTGCTCTCGTTCCACGGCCCGGTAGAGTTTACGGCGTTCTTTTCGATTCATCCCGTCGGTCGACCATGCAGCGTTTGTTTCTGTCGACATGATTGTTCTGTTGTGTAGATCTTTCTGTGCTTGAATAATATTGTTTGGGTCAAGTTACTCCAAATGAAGTCAGTCAAGTTTCCTCCAGATTGACCTTACTGCCTGAACTTTTCTGAATGCCAGATAAGGGATTCTTTATGATGTCATCGCTTCCGGAACCATGCCAACACTAGTCGCCATGGTTACCTGATCATGGTAACCAGTCATTCATTCATTTGAATAGGAACAGTGCACATCAATCATCATTACTGTAATTGTTCAGCATTAGATTCAAGATATAAGTTTATTTATAGCACATAAG